AATTCTAAAATGGTGTGTTCCCAGGTGACAACTCTCCATACCTGAAACTCTTGTCAAAAATCCAAATGAACTCTGCAATATGAAGATGGATGCAGCGGAAGATCATTGAGATTCTCAAGCCTGCATCCCCATGGTTAGATCATAGCTCACATTCACCCCAACTCCCAATAACTGCCTTTGCTCCATATCCCTTGATAACCTGGGGAACAAAAGTCTATAGATCTCAGTCTTGAAGACTGCATTTGTCCAAACAACATCCACAAACTTTTTTTGGGAGCAGTTTCAGATTCATGTGAGGTCGTTCTTCCTAATTTCACTCCTGAATGGCCTGGCTCGCATATATCTTCTATTGATCCTGAAGAAATCATTTCTCAGTGTCTACATAGCACACAAACCTCTAACAAAGCAGCCCTCAAAGTTTAAGAGTCAAATGTATCCAAATGAATCTTTTCTGAGAGTTACCCTGAGAATTATTCCTATTGGTTCCTGGCAGACAAAGCTCCCAAATATGAGAGTGAAGTGAGCGATAATCTTCACTATGAAATGGATAGTGTGTTTCCCAGATCACAAAAACAAATTTTGGTTCATGTTCTATTGCAGTCATCAAGATCATGGCAATAATTGACAACAGAATGTGTGTTTTAAATTGTATCCAGTTCTGGCCACCAGATTTTCAGAACATTGCAGAAGGTGGGATATGTTTACTGGAATGGTAGGAGTGAGAGACCTCAGTTTGTGGAGGCACTCTGAGAGCTGAGATTGTTCTCTCTAGAGCAGAGGAGAATAAAAGAAGATTGTTTTGAGAAAATCAGAATTGTAAGGGTCTTTGACACTAAATGAAGAGAATTTGTTTCCAGTGGTGGCTGTGTCTGTGTCTGAATTGAGGTAATTGCCAAAAGCACTAGGGGGTGTTGGGGCCGGTTGGGGGTTGGGGGCGAAGCTGAGGAGATTTTATTTTACACAGTGAGTTATGATCTGGAAAGTACCTCCTTAAACAATGTTGAAAGCAGATTCAATAGCACTTCTCAAAAGGAGATTGAACTTCTAACTGCAAAGTAGAAATATTTAGAGCCGGAGAGAAAGAGCAGAGCAATGGGAATGATTAAATAGCTGTTTCAAATAACTTAAGCTGGCTTAAGGGGCTGAATGGTTACTTTCTACGCTGCACCATTCAATGATCTCTATATCAAAGTCCACATGTGCACTCATTTGTTGCAGATTTGAGGTAGAGGCACTTTATGTCAGTTTGCTTGTCTTATTGTCAGGGGTGACATGGTGGCTCAATGGTTAGCACTGCTGCCTAATATTGCCAGGGACCCCAGTTCAATTCCAGCCTCGGGTGACTCTTTGTGTGGGATGTCAGCTGAAATTCTGACCTCAGAACTTAGGAATGAGACTTGAACTCACAGCCATTTGACCCAGAGGTAGGTTGTTAGAAGTGAGCCACAGCATCACCCAAAGATATTAGTAAATGGGTCATGGACTTGTGAAGAGCAATGGCAAGCCATAGTTAACTCTGGCTTCGAGAAACTTGGGACTGTTGGGTTTGAGTGGATCATTAAGCTCAAAGAAAAAGGAATTTCAATCAAAACCATGAACAACTCAACACATGTGAGGAACACAATACTTGAGGGGAACTAATTGCACCCCAGGTAAAGTGTAAGAAAATAAAGCTCTCCTGCATTGTCCAATGGGGATATCAAAACCCCATGTGGAGTTAGCTGCAGCTTGTCTGCATTACTGCCTTTCAATGAATCCATATGTCAAATCCTCAAATAGATTAAAAATACATGTCGGTGGTTGCTCAGAGTTTGAAACAAAGCTGACAGTGTGCTGTGGAATATCCTGACAGAATACACAAACAAGGGCCGAACTGCAGCCCTGCAGTGAATGAAGAGCCTCTCATTCCTTAAAGCTTCTATTGTTTAGCTTTGCATCAGTTATTTCTTGGTGAGTTGGCAGAAACAGTTGCAAGGATGGTAACGTGCATAGTGATCGGGGAGAAGAGTGGGATGGGTGAGGAGAGGATTACTTTGATAATATGGGTGCATATTAAGCGACATCGTGACATATATACAGAGAAAATGTTTCTTCTTGTGGGTAAGAGGATAACTTGAGGACATCAATATAAAACAGTCATCACAAAGTCCACTGGGAAACCAACAAGGCTGGTTGAGTCAGAACCTCATGAGATATTTAAGCAGTATTTAGATATTCACTCGGCATTGTCATAGCCTCCACAATTTATGGATGAAAAGTTGGAACATGAGATTAGCGTAGAAAAAGTTTAGTTGATGGGCATAGTCACGATGGGCCAAATTACCTCCGTCTATGCTGTAAATGTCTATGAATAAATCCAATCAGGAAATCAAAAGAAATTTCTGTGCCCAAAGACTGGTGGGAATTTGGAGCTTAGTACCACAGAGAGCGGTCGAATGAATTGTATAGTTGCATTTAGGGAAAAATGAATGAAGTATATGAGAGAGAAAGGAATAGAGGGATATAATGGTAGACTTAAATGAGGAAAGACGGGAAGAGGCTTAACTGGAATATAAATACTAACATGGATTGGTTAGACCAGAAGGCTTGTTTTTGTGATGTCTACCTTGTGTAATCCTATGGATGATTGTTCAATGCATTGGTCTAAACTTCCTTCCTCCTCCACATTAGTGAATTTTAAACTTGTTAATATTTTAAAGCTTCAGTTTTAACAGTGAAGAGAAGCCGATATTTGTAACATTTCATGCCTTATGACACATGGTAGCATTATATTTCCCATTTGTTAAAATAGGGGAACCTATTTTGCTGGGAAATGCTCTGTTTTGAACACTTTTCTTCCTAGATATTGACTAAAATCCATATTTGATTGATATGATGTTGGACATTTCTATGGGATGGAAATGTTCTCGTTATTTAAACATGCTTAATTCATTCCCAGAGAGTTATTGTTGCAGCATTAAATACTTGCCCATGGCTGGCAATTTACCTAAAATTAGCTGAAAACCAGTGAATTGACTTTCAAGTTATCAACTTTCAATTTATCAAGTCCTAGTTGTCACAATGTTCAGTTACTCATCTGATATCATCTAGGTCATCCCAAAAGCCTTAGGTAAGGCCTGGCTCCTACCAACCATTCATCAGCATGACTTCTTACTGTCTCGGAATCACCATTTGACCATTTTTCTCATGTCATTTTGGAGGCTAATTGGCCTGACATGGGAATATTGAACAGGCAACCTCCCAGCTGCTGCTCGTTCCTGCTCTAGGTTCGTCCCCTCAGGCTAATGGGACTGAACGTGTATGACAGGTGGGCAATGCAATGCCAGCTTCTTGTCCAAATCAAATTTCATTCCCTTTCTCAATTCCCCACTTAGGCTAATTTTCATCTTCACTACTTAAGTGTTAAACGCAGCACAATGGAATACGCATCCATTATGGAATCCAACTCATGTTCCTATTGAACTGACTGGAAGTGAAGTTTATATGTTCAGACAATCCATTCTCATGTTAGAAGGGTAAGGAGTGCCCTTGCACCCTCAGTTTCCTAAAATCTCTTTCAAGTTCAACCCACAGATGATCATCATTGATTTCATATTATTCATCCTCTAGTGGATTCATTCTCCCTTCTAGTGAGTGAAATGCATACACCCCTCTATGAGTCTCAGAAGCGGGACAAGCTTTGTTAAGGAGCGTCTATCTGGATGATAGATGAGGAATTCTGTACAAAACTGTACATCTGGGAGGGTACACAATGAGCTCTGTGGAGGACAATCTATCTGAATTGCACATGAAAAGCTCTGTTAGTTCCACGACAGCCTAATTTGTTTCCCCAATAATGTAGTGAAAAAAATGGATTTGCACTTTAGCCATTGCAGATATAATGACATTCCCGATTAATCCTGATGTAACCTTTAGCTTCGGAAATCTTTTAAGGTTCACTTCCTGGTGGCCTGCATGGGGAAATGATCATGCAAGCACTTACATTTTTTTCTCTAACAGACAGGAAAAGTCTGGAAAAAGACTCCTGTCCCCAGATTCTTACTGAGAAGACAGCCTTGAACAGTTTTCAAAGAGAACATTTCATTGTAAACCTGTGCCGCAAATCCTATGATTACTGAAGCACTGAACAGCCAATGCTGTGCAGGAAATATTACTCCAATTTTGCCCACGGTACAAATAATTATTCTCACTATATTATGTTCTAAAGTGTTGTATTGTTTTCTCTTCACTGTTATATTTTTCCTGTGAAGGTCAGTAGATAAAGGAACCTTTTGATTCAATGATCAGCCAAACTCATTACCTAGCCATATCAGATCTTGCTGGAGAATTTCTGGCCTATACAGTCCTAACCTTCTCATACTGTCACTTAAAGTAAGCTTTTGCACTAGTGAAATGCCTCTACAGCAGAGAGGGCGTGTTTATTGAAGACGCTGCGCTTGCTATTTTCTAGATTTTTGCACAATCTGAAGTGGCAAACACCACAGGACAGATCGGTGCTAAATTAGAGTTCAGTGTGCAGTTTTCAGACAGGAAGCATAGATCATGCATAGATTTAACCACATTGCCAGAGGTCAAACTGGGAATGCTGTGGTGCCAACCATCAATTTAAAAGGTTTGACTTATATATTTTTCTGGGTCAGAAATTCGCTGTTATAGGTATGAGTACAGGAAAGTACATTGAGCTGATATTAGAGGTAATGCCAATTCCACAAGTTTAATCCCTGTACTGAGTGAGGTAGATCTTGATATCATGGCATTATTGAATTACATTTAGCCACCATCAGACAACAAGGATGCTACGCAAAGAGAGGGAGGGAGACATTAGAGAAGGAACTTATTGTGGGCTTTGCAGTTTTTGTTTAAGTAATTTACACTTTCCACAACATATGCTTGACATTGACAATTCTTTTCTCCTTCCTATGTCCTGACAATCCTGTATTGTTCATGTTCTCAATGACTGAAACAATACCTGCTAAAGTTTGTCTTCCATGTCCACACAGCGTGCACTGCTGAAGCAGAAACAGAAGAAGAAACGCCAGGAGCCTCTGATGGTTCAATCTAACACTGAGGACAAGAAACTAAAGAAGACCAGAACTAGACGTCTTAGTGAACAGACCCCACTTGTTGAAGGAAAGACTGTGAACCAAAGTAAGACATGTTGGTTGTACCAGTAGCTGTATGGGGGAGGATATGCCTGCCACATTGGCAGATTGTCTGAGAGGCATTTCTAGGCTATATGTTGATAGGGAAATTTTACTCCCAAACATCCAAATGTAACATTTGGTTATTCATGTAGCATTGAAGTTTGTTCCAACATTGGAAGTAGCAAAGCAGATCAGTCAGTCCACTACAAATGACCTCTCTTAAACCAAAGGAGGAAATCCATAAGCACTAGCTGGAAGCCATCATTGCATTGTTTGAGAGGGTTGGCTTATGAGGTGAAATTGAGTAGACTGGGACTATACTCATTGGAATTTAGAAGAATGGGGGGGTTGATCTTATAGAAACATATTAAATTGTGAAGGGAATAGATCAAATAGAAGCAGAGAGATTGTTTCTACTGGTGGGTGAAACTAGAATGAGGGGGAAAAGCCTCAAAATAAGGGAGAGCAGACTTAACACTGAGTTGAGGAGGAACTTCTTCACCCAAAGGGTTGTGAATCTGTGGAATTCCATGCCCAGTGAAGTAGTTGAGGCTTTCTCATTGAATGTTTTTAAGGCATAGATAGATTTTTAAACAGTAAAGGAATTAAGGGTTATGGTGAGTGGGCGGGTAAGTAGGGCTGAGTCCATGAAAAGACCAGCCATGAACTTATTGAATGGCGGAGCAGGCTCGAGGTACCAGAGGGCCTACTCCTGCTCCGAGTTCTTATGTTCTTACGTTTTTGTGGTGTTCAGGTAACAATTGGATCAGGTTCAGCATCATTCATAGTGCAAATGTTTACAGGTACTTATTGTCTGGACTCACACATCAAGTATAGTCCCTTTGGAAGTACAAAATATGCTTTTTCTGAAAAGAAAGATGTGTTGCCAAAGATTTTCATCTTCCACTCATCAGGACAAACACAAGAATGCCAAAATCCCTACAATAACAGCAATTTACATTACAGGGGAAAAAGATTGGTTGGCAAGTCAAACCTGGTTGGCCGAGGGATTGCCATGGAATTCGGAACTCAGAGTTGGGAGTTCTATATTTACTTCTCCATGGCAACAGCCCGGCCAGTCAGAGCAGAGGAACAGAGGGAGCTAAGGAAAGAGTCCTTAGCAATTCATCAGTGTGACATTCGATAACAGTGAACTGACTAATCTGAAGTTCACTCCCTGGAATTAACCCAATGGGTTAGATCTTGGCTTTAATAGTAACATAACATAATGTGGTGTCAATGAGTCAACAGCCCATTTTATGCTTTCCTAACCTTGATTTTTGTTAAGGTCAGATGTAACGTCACCAATTTGTTATCATTCAGTAACGATGCACTGAGGCTGGAAAACGAGTCCCACTATTCCTTGGAGATGTCACAAAATGTAAAGATTTTATAAAGGATGCAAACTTGCCCAATTTACCTGAGCTTCAGACCCAGGTTTCTGTGCTGAATAAGAATCAATATTTTTTAGACTCTAGCTGCAGATAAAAATCTAGTTTCCTTTAGGTTTGCAGTAAGATTTGACCACAGAGAACAGAGTGACCACCCTTGAACTGGGGAACTAAACTGTCTCTGTAACTTGTTCCTAGTTCCAAACTATTCAATTCCTAAGAACCAATCACACAGTTGTTGGCAGGTAATAAGAACTCCGTCATCAATAACTAGTCACTAGTCCATAGACCAATCAACTTCTTGTTGCCAATAAAAGCTACATCCCTACATTCCTTTGGCCTCCATTCTCTGCATCTCAAACTTCAACTACTGCCTGTTCAAACAGTCGTTTACAGAACATCTGTAATAGGTATTAGGTATTTTATTGCAAAAACATACTGACACCCTTTCAAACACTGATTTTAAAATAGCTCTTTCTCATTTCAGTCAACAGTTTTCAAAGCACAAAAATAAAATGATATGGTCTTTACCATTCATTTTACACAAACTCATGATCTACCCCTGACTTCCTGTTATAAGTAGATTGGACTGTGTCTGTAAAGAACTTCTTTAATTCACTGATAAGGTTCAGCATTCTCCAGCCAGGGAACATATCTTATGCTGAGAATATAAAAAGGTTGATTTTCATTCTTCTCACCTGTTGCATATGAGTGAAGCTGAATTCATGATGAACGCCATGTCAAATCTCTGCAAAATATCCTCAGCGTCAGTGACTTGTATAAGTTATTGCAAAATTCACAGACAATGTCAACACACAGAGGAAAGGCCTTCATTCTGATTTTCCCTCTGTAATGCCCCCCTCACCCTAACCAGGATTGACTAGGATCTCGACATTCAATGTTGCATATGAGAAATTGGAGGAGCTCTCAACATTCCAACCCACTGTGGAATGAACAACATACTGGGGAGGTGGGCTTTTATAATCCTGAATGACCTTGGTCTATCTTTTCTAAGTGACCATGTGTCCAAATCTCAAGGGGGAAATGAGAAACCAGGAAGAGACTCTTTTTTCATTTTGATAGACAGTGAATTGACTTGGTCTGAATTCTTTGCATGTAAGGAAACAAATTCAATTGTAATCTTCCAAAAGGAATATTTGAAACATTAGGAAAAATAATGGGGAAATGGGAAAGCAACAAGGCATTTTTGATAGATCCTTCAATGAATTGGCCTGGGCATGATGGGCCGAACAATCTTCTTCTGGTCTATAAAATTCTAGACTCTACACACTGTGACTTATAATGTAGGTGAATGAGAAGCATATGGATTCGATATGCTGAGAGGAGAAAATCTTTGCACACTAGTGGATGATGACTTTTCCCACAGTAACCACAGGAATTTGTATCCTCTCCACTCCAATCCCGTATTTATTACATTAGAAATGTTCATGCTGCAACTGCTTCTCATGTTTCCTGTTGGGAATGAATGAATTTGGGTAACAAGCTGAGAAAAGAGGCCAAAGTAAAAGGTGTAAATGCTGGCATTCTGAAATTAAGGAACAAATGCAGTATATACAGGTGAACCCATGCCGGTGGAGACAGTGGGTAGCTTGACCTCTCAACCATGATCCAACACTGAAAGGTTAGCATGTATTTCATTGAGATCTGGAGAAAAAGTCAAGGGAGGAATGTACGTACTCCAGACTCTGAGAGGGAGCTGAGTTGAATGTCTTGTGATCTATTCAATTTGGGAGAGCGCCACTCAGCACTATTTTTTTTCCCAAAGGTTTAACTCTAATGTGGGATTTATGCACTTATTTTTTACACTGATTGCAGTGATAAACAACATGCTTGTTACATTTATATAGCATTGTGGTTGATCTATCTCAAGTGACTCTGACATTAGGCTTTGTGCTATATCCTCAGTCTTGGCATGCATTGCTTATCAAGCTATTCCTCCTTCTGAGTCTATTGGCTGCCAGCATTCCTGACCCCTGAACCCATCTGCACAGATGCTCAGTAGTTCTCCAATCCCTTGGCACCACCTTGCTCAGCAGATTTCTGTTTGTGTGGTTCTGGGACCTCTCTCATTTATGGCATTGCTTGCTTTCTCCCATCGGGGCACGCGACACTAGAAGATGTTGCTGAAAAGAAAACAAGGAATAAGAAACTGAAGGCCGAGCTGGAAGATCTGGAACCAGAGAAAGACCCTTACGCCAAGTTCATCAAAGACCCCAAGAAGAAAAAGGAGAATCCTGCTTCCTATTTCACTGTTGAAAAGGCATCCACAAAACACCAGCAAGGTACATGAGCCATGCATAGGGCTAGATCCGACACTGTGCACTTCATCATACATAATCATTTAGAAAATTAAACCAAGTATGTGTATTATTTATACACCAAGGTGACCAGCAAAGGAAGGAAAGAATCTGTTTTCATTTAATGCCTTTTATGACCTCAGGCCATCTCAATGTTCTTTGTGACCAATGATGCATTTTTGACTGGAATGATGCAAATGTAGTGGCCCATTTTCACCCATTTTACAGCTCTATTTCTCTCTCACCACCATTAGCAACCCCTTTGTCTTTTGCACCACATCCACACACCATCTGTTCTCTTTGGACCTCCTTTATCTCTGTCAATAACATAAGAAAGTCATCATTTTCCAAGCCCTTTCGATTCAGAAAAACAGTCATGTTAGACTTGAAATATTAGCTTCCCACACATGCCGCCAGGCTTGCTGAGTTCCTCCAGCAATTTCTGTCCTTATTGAAGAAGTTGAGACTGTTCTCCTTAGGGAGAAAAAGGCTGAGAGGGAGATTTGATTGAGGCGGTCAATATCATGAGGAATCAGGAAAGAGTAGATAGGGAAGACCTGGTCCATCTCATGCAAGGATTTAGAATGAGAAAGCACAGGTTTAAAGTAATCATCAGAAAGCTAAAGCAATGTGGAAAAATGTTCATGCAGAGAGTTGTTAAGATCTTTGTTTAGGAGAGGCAGATGCAATCAAGGCATTCCAAAAGGAACTAGATTGTTACCTTAGAAAGGAAAAATATACAGTGTTACGAGGCTGAAATAACTGCACAGAGGCCAGTATCCCATCACCAAGTCACCCTTTATGTACATGTGCACAGTTCACTGTCTATAGCCAGCCAGCTTAGAGTCAGTCCCTGAAGTAAAGAGACTCTGACTCTCCTGTTTATATCTGTCAGCCAGGGCTCCCTGATTGGCCCAGGTTAACGACCCTAATCAAGGATCTCATAGTCAATAAGATCCACCTGGTTCCAATCACTACAGAGGCAAATGCAGGAGAATTGCACCGGGTGAACTGTTCATTCAGAAAGTCAGTGCAGACATGATTGGCCAAATAGCCTTGCTTCTGCACTGAAGAAATTCAATGCTTGTGTGAGGCATAGACCGGGTCTGATAGAACTGCGGTGTATTAGGTAATGAAAGGCATATGTTATATTCCAAATGACAGTATGTTCAAACTAAGCAGGTTAGGGAGGAACAGGGATCATGGTTTTCAGTTGCAACAAGCCCGATCCAGCGTTAACATTGGGAGCTGACTCTTTTCGTGGAGAATAGTCAATATCTGACTCAAGCTGCCTA